TTAATCCATATCTCTACAGCCAGGATATCACTACTGTGCTAGCTATCCCTGTCGGGAATTACTACGTACTAAGCAATTAATTCAAATCCTACTGTCGTAGCTCAATGAGTTAATTATTTAGTCTGAAGATCGATATCCTATTTAAGACCGCATAGCACCTTATTTAATCCACTGTCGCTTCGATAAGTTACTATGTCACATGAAATAGGTTCAGTTATTAGGATTTCACTGTCGCTAATAACCTAATTAACTACAATTCATTGTATTGGTGGCCAGTCAACACAAAGCATTAAGCAATTTCATGCAATAGAGATTGAAAGAAAAGAATCATGAATCAATCCATCAAATCAAGAACTAGCTACATCCTATGGTGTTTCCCCCAGAAATTGGGGTTTAGTTCATGACGAAATTAAAACACACAATCATGTTCATAATCATCATGTCACTAATTAAAATAAAGGAACGAAAATACTCAGATAAACTGATCGAATGCTCGTGATCGCCGAGCTCTCCGAACAGAATTTTTGCACGCTGCTGCTGTCGTCCCCTCGTCGCTGTGCTGCTCTTTTCTCCAAAGAATAATTCGCTTCAAAAGAATTTCCGTCTCCTCTTTCTCCAAAAGAATCCGCTCCCCAAAACAATAAAAATCCGCCGCCAGCTTCCAGAGAATTTCCTCCTTTCAATTTTTCTCTGCCCGTGTCCAAATAATTTCCCTCGGCCGCCAGCTCCCCCAAGTAATAGGCCCGGCCCAATCGAGTCACTTCCGGCCCGCTGCTCCTCCTAGCCCAAGTGAATATTCCACCACTGATTCGAGCCCAATTAATTGCTTGTGCACTTGCTACCTTTTCCGTGCTTTCTCCACCTGTAACATATCAAACTCATGGCACTAGGCAGTAATGGTTTTTCAACCATTTCCGGGTTAGCGAGCCCTAAAATAGCACCAATCGGCTAAGACGTACCATGGGATAATCACATAGAGTCCACGAACTCAATATATTAAAGCCGATTATCAGTCGTCCTTCAACGCGGACGCCGAACTCGAAGCAGCCAGCGCCTCCTCCTTTGACTCTAACAGTCGGCGGGCTCCTCTCTCCGCGAAAAGGAGGATCTGTGACCACAAAACCAAGGAATCAAAACAAGCAAAATGCATGCAAGACAAACTTGGCGAAATATGACAACCAACACACTTACCTTAGCACCCACTTGGGCCAGTTCCGAGAACAGGTGGTCGCCGTTGACCTCCGAGGGCACCTGCCACATCTTTGCGACAGACATAGCTAGCCCCATTGCACATCCCCGGTCCACGGCGGACAGCGGGGAACACGGTAGGGCAATGCTCCCCAACTCGGCGCGGAGCGGCTTCAAAACTGGGTGGCGCCCATAAGGGCCTACAAAGCGCCCTTCTTCGTCCAGATGCACCCGGGCGCCTTCGCGTACGCCTGGACTGGAGGCCACAGCCTTTCCTTTCCCATTCTCACCTTCCCGGGCTTTTTTACCACCGCGGGGCAAGGGGGACCACGCCCTCTTCTCACGGCAAACAAGGAAAGGCGTCTCTTCCTTCGAATCCTCCTCATGGGCTGAAGGATCAAATGTCGGCTCGGGGGCGTCCGGTTCAGGGCCCGAAGACGCTACACTGGCAGTTTTAGTTCGCATAGGCGCCTTCGCGGGGGCCACCTTTGCGGGAGCTTTCTTCCCGGCCTTGCCTTTTTTGGGGGCAGAAGGTGCGGGCGCCGAAAGTTGAGCAGCAACGACGGGACTAGACACCCCACCCGCCATCATCGCCAGCCTACTCTTTATTAACTTCCCGATGGAAGTGAAATCCGACCCTGCACACAAACACAAGGATTAGCACAAGTAAATCAGGATAAACGCAAGTAACTAATAAAGAGCGCCCACACACCATCGTTAAAATATTCTTGCAACACCCTAATTCGATTCGCTGTGACGCGAAGATTCACGGGATGGGTACTAATAAGTTGGGCGCCTCTGGTCTCCTCTGAAGAGAGATAGACTTTAGTATTAAAGGCCTCAATCTGGCCTAGCGTCCAATGCCTCATGAAGGCGCCCCCACTCTCGAAGAAAGAGTCATGATAGGCCTTCATGAAGAAAAATCATTTGAACCAGGTACGCCCCAACTTTGGGCACCTAACCACGAAGTGGTAGGGAAGCTTGGAGCGCTTGTGCAATGAGAGGCAGTTGTCCAACGGCACCACGTTGAAGAACCACCTGAACAAGTTAAAAGTGGGCCTCACGTTGTGATCCCGGCACCTGAGCTTGAAAAACACCACCACCACCATGACGGAAGGTGTCAGGCGTCCCAACTGGCACTCACACATCGTCAGGATGCCCTCCAAGATCGGATCTATCGGGAAGCGCAGCCCAAACATGAAGTATTCTTGATATATGCATATCCACTTAGGTCCACACACGCCGACCCTAGAAATGGGTGAGGGGGGGGGGGCGTACCACCAGTCTCGCGGAAGTTGGAGGCTGGTCACCAGTCCGTGCACCCGCGCCAGCGTCACGGTCGATTGGCAATCTGGCCCAGCCACATCGAAAGGTAACCTGGCAGTCTCGGTGGGCAGATGATCCGGGGGAAACGCCTTCTCCCAAGTGGTGATCTTATATGAGCCATCAGCAGGCATGAAGCCCAGGGTGGAGGCGCTTGCTGTTCCGACACAGTCAGGCGCCCTCTCTAAACCAAAAACCGAACCAGGCGTACAATCCCGAATCGGGGTAAGAGTCTAGCCGACGCCTAAGTGTATCGCAAAACCAAAGAAAATAAGAAAAAGAGGGAGCCCAGAGAAAGACACTGAGAAGACCTAGAGGGCGCTTACCAGAGCGGGAAGGGCGGTTGGAAGCGGCGCCCGTACCAGAGTTGGAGGGGCGGACTGAGGAGGCGCCTGCGTCAGCCTCGGCAGGTCGAGTGGGGGAGGCGCCCGCCCCAGAATCGGCAGAAGTAGCGGGAGAAGCGCCCGCACCGGACCCACCAGCGACATTGTCTCGGGGGAGGCCATTTGGTCGAAGAATAAGAGCAGTTCTAGAGAGAAGGCCGAACAGTTCTATAGAGAAGGCAGAGCGAAGTTAGAGAGAGAGGGAGTTGAAGAAAGTGACAGGAGGAAGGAGACTGGGGGTATTTAAAGGGAGGAAAGGCGCGCATCGAGAGGTGCGCCTTCTGCCACGTGTCACCAAATCACGGGCGGGCCTTTAAGCTTCCCCCATTTTTTTAATTTTGAATTTTAACTGTTAATTTTCAAAATTCGAAATTGGAATATAAAAATACTTTAAAGATCAAATCCCCGCCCGTGAGGGGGGCACCCAGGCGCCCAGATCAGGCGTCTGTCCCATAGCGTAGGCGCCTCTCCGAGGGGAAGCATGAGCCTATGAAAGTTTGCGGCGGTCAGAACGTAGGGTTCCTATTGAGAGGGGGGCATGAACCCAAGGGAATTTGGTCACACGAGTGGGCGCCCGAGTGCAGGATGAGCATTGAATGATGACAAGGACTTGGGCGTCAGAAAGTTAAACTTAGGCGGATAATTGAGCGCCCGCCAAGAATGAGTGGTGCATGCAAAGCGCCCGGGCCAAGAGATCAGTTAGGCACTCAAGTAAGGGACCATGAGCGCCTAACTGGGGGGGGGGCAATTGTTGGGGGTATTACTAAAGGGCCCCAAAAGAGGGCCCAAGAGAGAGCCCATTCAGTTAAAAGTAGCCCAAGGCAATGGGCCAGGAGAAGAAGCCCGCAAAACCCACTGCACACCAGGCAGCATAGGCATGGAGACAAAGCCCTAAGGGCCAAAGAGGTCCAGGCATGCAAGTTGTCCCCCGCCTGTGGGCGCCTGCCAGGCGTCAAAAGCTTGACAAGGTGGTTGAGGCTTCTTACAGGAGTGAAGGTACAAAGCATTTAATTTGATGGTGACGTGGAGGAGATCCACCTCAAGCCTAGTGAGTATAAATAGGGGCAGTTGGTAGTATTTACACAGGTTGGACTCTCTCACTAGAACTCTTTCTCTAAGCACTTCTCTCTCTAGGAAGTGACTGACTTGATCATCGGAGGGCTAACGGGCCCAGGCGCCCCCTCTGTGCTCGTGTGTGTAGGCAGGCGCCAGGCAAAGAAGGTGCGGACGTATCGGCGGGGCGTCGAGGCTCAAACATGTATGCTTGTTTAATTTTGGGTAATGTCTATTTTTTATCCAAACCTTTTTCATATTCTTTTATATTATCCAAACCTATCGAAATACTAAAAATTAGCCAAATGTTAACTTTCACTTAGCAATTTTGTTAGTAATATTGACTTGGCAACATGATACTTACTTGAAAGAGACAAATGAAGATCAACATTCCAATATTTTAGTATTTTAACCAAGAAAAGAATTATAAAATTATAAACGATAACGTAAAAATGGCTAATATTTTGATGCATTACGAAAGATTTGGCTAATTAATTGCATTTTAATAGGTTTGGATAATATAAAAGAATCTGAAAAAGATTTGGATAAAAAATAGATATTACCCTTTAATTTTTCATCAAAATGTAACTTATCATTCAATTTTAGTAAAAATGAGTAGAAAATTTACTTCATAAGATTTAATCGGATATTTTTTATTTAAAAAAATGTGATACATGTCACTCTCTGTTTTCTTATTTATATTTTGTTTATTTAACAAAAGTATTATTTATGTGTGTTTGGTTAAGTTTTTCAACATGTAACTTATTATTAAAGACAAAAAATGAATAATTGGATAAATGAAAAAAATAATTGGATAAAAGAAATGGAAATATTAAAGAAGAATGATGTAGCTCCATAAATACATTAATAACTAATTTTTTGTTTGTAAAAAAGTTGTCCAATTTTGCAAATTGTTGATCCTCCAAGTGTTTATGTGGCAACAATTTTTTTTAATTGCCATAATATATAGTATAGATAGATATAGATAGATAACCATGTTTTAAATTATCAAGTGTCTTTTTTTTTTTTTTTTGACAGAAACCTGTAATCAAATCATTGAACAGAGTTAGCTGCTACATCATCCAGCTTAATCCGATCAACTAAATAAATTGGCGGTCGGTCCAGCCAAACGATCCGCTCGTCCCATCTAGTGCGAGCGTGTGCCATAATATGAGCCGCTTCATTAGCCTCCTTGTACGTGTGAGAGAAGCTTCCTCGTCGGTCCTCCACCAGCCTTCGAATATTCCGACACACCACTCCCAGCTCCGATCGAGAGTAAGACTGCTCTGTCAAAAGTCGCACCAGCTGCAAACAATCCGTCGCCATAATAGGGTTTTGGACGTTAAATTGTTGCGCCAGCTGAGCTCCCATCTCCAAAGCCATTGCCTCTGCCAATTCCGGTGTGAACTGCCCCCGAACCATCTCTGCTGCTGCTAGGATAAACTTCCCGTTCTCGTCCCGCATTACCACACCCATACCGATCCCCCCTTCTTTTAGCACCCCAGCATTCGTGTTCACCATGACTCGGCCCCTCGGAGGTTTACACCATTTCTTCTCGCCAGTTGAGGGCGGCGGCGGTGTACACCTCTCCTGATGTTGTCGATAGTCTTCCAGGAAATGCCTCGCCCTGTCCACGATCTCTTCTTCTGCCGTCTTCAGCCCATTGAACAAGTGAGCATTGCGCTCTTTCCATAAAAACCAGAGCAGCACGCTCCATTCGGCAAAGCTTTCCTCCCCCACCTTCTCCATCGCCTTCTTCAGCCACTCCACCGTCGAACCAGCCCCATGCAGCGCATACACATCGGCATAGCTCGACTTCCTCCAAATTCTCGAACTCCAGGGACATTCCACAAAGGCATGCTTTTGAGTTTCATACGCATCACAAAACGGGCACTTATCAGACCACTTCTCACTTTTCTCACTGACTCGAGCCCCAGTTGGCAGAATTTCTTGAGCAAACTTCCACAGGAAGTGGCGCACCTTCGGCGGCACTTTCATGCCCCATAACTGCTTCCAGAACCCTCCCTCTTCCGACACCTGCAGCCCCTGTCCCAGCAAAAATTGCTCCAGCCATATTCGGTACCCCTCCCTCACCGAGTACTCCCCATCTACAGAATGCTGCCATAGTAGTTCATCTTGCTCCCCTGGCCGAACAGGGATCGCCCTAATAGCTTGGACAATGTCAACCGGGAAGCAACTCTCTAGTACGTTCAGGTCCCATGCATCCTCATCCAAATCCAACAGCTCACTCACCTTCGCATCCACAGGGAGTCCCATCGGGGCCGACTCCACAAAGTGCCCTGACAGAGACGGGATCCACTTGTCCCCCCAAACTCGAACCTGACTTCCGTTACCTATCCGCCATCTCAGACCAGCCCTAAGGAACTCTTGTGCGCTCAATAAGCTTCGCCACACAAAACTCGGCCTATACCCCAGCCCTGCATCCAGTATAGAGGTATGTTTGTGATATTTCGCACGCAAAATGCGAGCTACGAGAGACTCCGGCTGCTTGAGAAGCCGCCAGAGTTGCTTTGCCAAGAAAGCCATATTAACGCCTCGTAACTCTCTAATCCCCATTCCACCCATGTCCTTCGAAATAACCAGTCTTTCCCGCCTGATCCAATGCGCTTTGCGCTCCTCCCCACGCTGGCCCCACCAAAACCTCGTAATCAAACTGTGTACCTCATCAATCACCCCCTCCGGGACTTTGAATACCGATATCGCGTAGTTAAGCTGGGCTTCAGCCACTGATCTAATTAACACTTCTCTAGCTGCCACAGAAAGAGGTTTTTCCTTCCAACCCTTTAGTTTCTTCCTTATTCGCTCCACAATGTCTGCAAACAGCTCTTTTTTGGAGCGGCCTGCCTCTGTTGTCAACCCGAGGTATTTGTGATGCTTTTCCACAACCTTCATGCCCAATATACCTCCGATTTCCCACTTCTTATGGGGAGACACATTCTTACTGAAAGAAACATCCGATTTTTGAAAACTCACCTGCTGTCCCGACTCTTTTTCATAGTCAAGTAGAATACCCTTCAAAGCCAAACTCGCCGGGACGGTAGCTCTGGTAAAAAATATGCTATCGTCGGCGAAAAACAAGTGAGAGATGATCGGAGCCCCCTGAGCAGGGCGAAACCCCTGCAGTCGTCTTTGCTCAACTGCTAGCGATGTGTAAGCAGATAAACCCTTCGCGCACAGCAGGAACAAATAAGGCGAGAGAGGGTCCCCTTGCCGAATTCCTCTGCCCGGAGTAAACACTTCTGATTTATGCCCATTCACTAGAACTGAGTACGATACCTTCGTTACACACAGCATAATAATTTTGACCCACTGGTCAGCAAAGCCCATCTTTTTCATTATTCCTTCCAGAAAAGGCCACTCCACCCTGTCATACGCCTTCGCCATGTCAATTTTTGCAGCGAGGAACCCTGTCTTGCCCTTAGTTTTCTTACTCATCGTATGGAAACATTCGAATGCGGCCATGATGTTGTCCGTGATACACCGCCCCGGAACAAAAGCTGACTGGGTCGCCGAAACAACTTTATTCAGCACATTTTTCAACCGATTAGCCAGTACCTTCGACACCAGCTTGTAGATCACATTGCACAGCGAAATGGGTCGGAATTCTTTAGGCATGCTCGGCTCCTTCACCTTCGGTATCAAGGCAATGACCGTGTAATTCACCTCCTCCGGCATTACTCCCTCCTCAATGATCTGCTTGACTGTTTGATAGACATCATCGCCTACAATTTCCCAGTACTTCCTATAAAACATGACCGACAGCCCGTCCGGGCCTGGAGCTTTGCGTTTTCCCATCTGTTTCAATGCTTTTACCACTTCATCCCTCTCAACCGGCCTTAACAGCATCAGATTATCCTCCCCCGAGATTGCTGGTTTCACCGCATCTAGAACTGGGGTGCGACTGGGGATGCCGCCGGCCATAAACAGCTCCGAGTAATAATTACGCATGCACTGGAGCGCTCGGTCTGTCCCCACGAACCATTCACCATTTTCACCTTTGAGCTTACGAATCATGTTCCTTCTGCGTCGGGCTGAGGCTTTTCGGTGAAAAAAATTTGTATTTCGATCTCCGCCTTTCAACCAGTCTGCCCGCGATCTTTGTTTCCAGTACAGCTCCTCATTTTCCTCAACCTCCGCCATCTCACTTTCTAGTTGCCTGATTTGGTTTAGTACCCCTTCTGTTTTTGGTCTTCTTTCTAACGCACGTATCGCCCTTCTGATTATTCGCTTCTGGTCAGAGAAACGGGGAAAGGTTCTCCTACTCCATTCTTCCAAATCCGTTTGACATGCTTCAATCTTCCCCCGAATGTCCATCGACACCTGCGGCTTCCAAGCTTCTTTCACCACATCCTCACAGCCCTCATGGTTAGCCCATAATGGTTCAAACCGGAAAGACCACCCCCAGCTAGGCTCATCGTCCTCCTCTCCACGTGTATCACAAATGATGGGGCGATGATCCGATCGTGATCGATCAAGATGTGTTACTCGAAAGTTCACATTTTCACATTTCCATCTCTCCGAGCCCATAAATCTATCCAACCTCTCTTCGATATGGGCCCCTTCACCTCGTCGATTCTCCCACGTGTATTTATAGCCTCTGAAGCCAAGATCATGGAGGTCCACGTCAATTAAGCTCTCTGCAAATTCAATCAAGTTATTCCCCTGGTCCACTCGGCCCCCACTCTTCTCACTTTCCGAAAGTATTTGGTTAAAGTCACCCCCACACAACCAGGGCAAATTCGTTTGGTTACCCAGATGACGAATTAGTTCCCAAGTCCTGTGTTTAGCCGAGTTCTCCGGCCAGCCATATATACCTGTGAATCTCCATGGATCCCTTCCTTCCTCCTCCACTCTTGCATCAATATAATTCGCTGTCACCATGGTCGGGACTAACTTCACTTCCTCCTTCCACCACAAGCATAGTCCCCCAGCCCTCCCATTTCGAGACACATCAGTAGGGAAGCTTCTTCCCTCAGCAAAATCAAGCTCCTTCTGCAACACTTCATTCTCAGTACAGGTCTGCTTCGTCTCCATTAGAAAGACGATGTGCGGGGAGACATGTCGCAGCAGCGACTTTAATGCTTTAACTGCCCGCTTACTCCCCAACCCGCGGCAGTTATAGCTTAGAATTCTCATCTATCACCCAAAGGGGATAGGTTCCCCGCACCTTTTAGTTGAGCTTGTTTACTCGACGTCGCCGCCGTGGGCTTCGCCGGTGGCTTCTTACTCTTCCCGAGACTCTCCCCGGTCTTGCTACTTATGTCCCCCGTTGGTCTCACATTTGAAACCTTTGGCTCGGCTGGGAGTTGATCACTCCCCTTGGAAGCCTTCCTACTAGTCTCACCCTCTTTCCCATTCTTCTCCAATATCGAGACACCCCTCCTCCAGCAGTCTTCATCTCCTTCCCTTGTGTCACCTTACTCCCCGGGGGGTGCACTAGCTCTTGAACTATCTCCGTCTGCTTTAACTTCGTCTCACTCGCGTCATCCCCATTACCTGCCGCCGGGTTCATTTCTCGGTCCTCGGGTACCGACTCCTTAGGCAGCTCGACCTCCATCTTGTTACCCTCCGGCTCTTCCATCATTATCTCCTCGTCCACCCCCTCACTCAACTCCTCTTCCCGTTCTTCAAGATTTCGGAATCTCGACCCATCATTTGAATGATCCACCCCCTCCTTTCCTCTTCCATCTCTCATTCCCGATCCTACATTCTGTAATTCCCTTGGTTGACGCTGGCCACCGGTACCCTTTCTATTCTTTGGTCGGGCCACCATCCATTCCCCGTAAACCGCCTCCTCCGTTTCTCCCCTTTCCTCCGAGATCCCCTCATCTTGTTTTTCAATCGGCTGAACCACGTTCAGCTTTGGGAAGCTCTTCTTCACATGGCCATAGCGTCCACACTCGCTGCATATTAGGTGTAAACCCTCAAACTCTATGTAATATTTCTTCCCTTCAATTTTGTACTTGGACAGGAGGGGTTTAGTTAGATCAACTTCAACGCACACCCTCGCAAATCTGCCCCGAGCACTGGTCTGAGTTATACGATCCACTTTCACCGGACGTCCAATCCGTTCAGCAATCTTTTCCACAGCCTCCTTATTAATAAACTCAATAGGGAGGTCCGGGAGGCGTGCCCATACCATTGTAGTAGCCACCTCCGCGAACTTGGGGTCAAAATTCTTAACCCACCTTCTCACTGTCAAGTAGTGATCTCACACCATCCAAGGGCCGCCAGCCGCAGCTTGTTCATAATCAAACTGAGATGTAAACCGCACCACGTAGAAGCCCCATGAGAGGCTGGATATTTGCAGGGTACCACATTTAGCCCATAGGCTCTCTAATCGTCTCGAAATAACAGGGAACGGGAAGGTGTGCCCTAGCACTTTCACAATCAGGGCCGACCTCCATTGACGCCTCCACCTTTGCTTCTCCATTGATCGGAACGGGATAGTAGGGCAGTTAGGGTCATCGTCTTCCGGTACTTCGTCATCCTGATCATCTTCTTTCATGGCATTAGAAACATCTTCCGAGTCCGATTCCGCAATATAATACTCCTCATGCATACGTAAATCATCAAAAAGTTGCCTCGATCCATTACTCCATGCAGACTCGGCCGGTTCTTCAACATACTCTGCTACCTTTTCCTCCTCCTCGGTCATGGCAGCCGATGCCGCCTCCATATTCTGATCCCCATCACTCGCGCTTCTTTCAAACAACGGGTTAGCGCACAGTGGTCTCGCTCTCTTTTTATCTTGCACAGTTTCTTTTTCGCCCTTACCCCTGGGTGAAGACGACGAGAGGGGGGGTCGACGAGCTCCGGACAGGGGGTCCGGCGGTCGAGACGTCGGGGGGGGGGGGGGGCAGTCCCCGACCCAGGGCCGGTCATCGTCGGCGTACAGCAAGGTTTCGCAAGGGGGTCGCCGCTCCGAGAAAAACGCTAGGGTTCTTCCTGCTATATAGTATATCGTTGCCCAATCATAAATTATCAAGTGTCTTAAAAAGCTAAGATACAAGTCCTCTGATTAGTATAATAGTATTAACCCTCATTTCTATTATTATTCATTGGATCCGGGACTAGATACTATAACAACACTCCTTTTGTTGTTATTGTAACAACACTAGTCTCCAACCAATAGGAAGCTAGGATTGTGATTACTTTTTATTAGATGAGTTGACCTAGTGTAAAATCAAAGCAGGGGTATAATTGTCATTATGAAAAATCTGTTTAAATAATAATAAAAAATAAAAAAATAAAAAAAAATAAGTTTTTTTATTCTCGGCCCAAAATTTTGGTCACCGGAATCCGGACAACGGTCGCCGGAATCTAGTCGCCGGTCACCGGAATATGCTTTTTTGTCGCCGGAATATGCTATTTAGTCATTGGAATATGCCACCGTCGCCGGAATATGCTCACCGTGATCGGAATATGCTTACCGGCGTCGGAATCTAGTCATCGGGGCCGGAATATGCCTATCAGCGCCGGAATCTACTCACTAACGGTCATCGGAGTTTGGTCAACGGGTTTCGTTGACCGGTTAACGGTCTTCGTTGACCGGTCAACGGTCTTCGTTGACCGGTCAACGTCCAACGACCACCGGTTGTTATGGTCTGCTTTGTGAGATTTATGGTTTGGTTTCTCATATTTTTGTATGCCTTTTGTGGTTTGCTTTATCGTGTTTGTGGTTTGTATTAAGAAGTTTCTGGTTTGCTTTATCGTGTTTGTGGTTTGCATTGAGAAGTTTCTGGTTTGCTTTCAAAAACTTTGTGGTTTGCATTGAGGGGTTTCTGGTTTGTTTTAATTTATTTGTGATTTACATTGAGAAGTTTCTGGTTTGCTTTCAAAAATTTTGTGGTTTGCATTGTGAGATTTCTGATTTGTTTTAATATATTTGTGGTCCGCATTAGGACGTTTCTGGTTTGTTTTTTTGTGGTTTGATTTACTGTGTTTGTGGTTTGCATTATGAGGTTTCTTGTGTGCTTTCGCAAATGTTGTGGTTTGCATTGTGGGGTTTCTAGTTTGTTTTAGGAGATTTGTGGTTTGCATTAGGAGGTTTCTGGTTTGCATTAAGAAGTTTCTGGTGTGCTTTCAAAACTTTTGTGGTTTGCTTTGCAAGGTTTCTGGTTTGTTTTAATATATTTGTGGTCTGCATTAGGACGTTTTTGGTTTGCTTTACCGTGTTTGTGGTTTGCATTAGGGGGTTTCTGGTGTGCTTTTCAAAATATTTATGGTTTGCTCTGTGAGGTTTCTGATATGTTTTAGCGAATTTGTGGTTTGCATTAGGAGGTTTCCAGTATATTTTTGTGGATTGTTTTGATTGCATTTGTGGTTTGCACTAGGAGATTTTCGGCGTCTACAAACAACCATTTTTTTTTAATTGCTTACTTACTCTGTCAATGCTGGGTGATCTGTCAATTAACTCTGAAGAAGAAACATTAACATAGTTACAGACCAAAATTCTGACAGTAATTCTGACGGTGATCTGTCAATTGCTTCGGTTGGGTGCTAGTTTTGTAAAAAAAAAATTAAACGTACTATTATTGAAAAAATCCCTAATCCCCCAACCCCACTTGGCCACACCCACGTTACTGAACCTCGACCCCGTTAATCCCTCCAAGAAAACCAAAGTAAACTTTTCCTGTAAATTCCGTAAGCTAGGCCACAGAAACAGTTTCTCCCCCAATCATCATTCTCTATACAATCCAATCTCTTAGACACCCCATCACCGATAACCGTCCACCGCCAGTCAATCGAACCTTCTATTTCCCATCGGCTGTAAAATCAACTGATATCGAATCAGCGACGAAACGATGGGCAGATCCATCGCCACTGGCGAAATAATCCTCAGCTACAACGACGATGTCCTCCGCCGGTCGGACTTGCGCATCCTTAGCGGCCCCCGCTTCTTGAACGATAGAATCATCGAATTCTACTTCAGTTACCTCTCCTCCTCCTCTGCTGCAGCACTTGTGTTTACTGTTTAGTCGTTGCTGCTAGCTTTATCTGAATAAATAGTTTAATGGCTCTGATGGCGGCATCCTGACAGTAGTGGCAGGGATTCTGCCATTTCGCGTCGACGGCGTCGGGTCTAGTAGCGTGGCGGAGTCAGCATAGTGGAACAACTGGGAATCGGGCGGTGGAGCTAGGAAAGAGGCTATATCTATCGCTCTTTCTCTAATTCCGTATAGTTTGATGGGGTTATGAAGAGGAACGGGAGGAGAAGCTGATGGCGGCGGAGGAGATCGAGGTCTGGTAGGGGAAGAGATCTGCAATTGCAACTCCTCGGAAGAAGCGTCGCCTATGCCGGCGCCGGAGGGAAGAAAACGATCAGCTGCAGAATATGATTGAGATATGAAGAATTTGGGAATGGAGGAGAAAGAAAACACGCTTTATATTGCTTTTTTAATTATAATTTTATTAGTTTTCTTGTAAGTTTACCCTTATATCTTTGTTGTTACGGTAACAACATAAAGAGTCTTGTTATTCTATCCGGCCACCATTAGATCCTCTTGTCAAGAAAACTTTTTATTTCTTGTACAACAAATCAGAGTACGTAACGAGATTTAACCCAACAGAGTTCCGTTGTTGATCGTAACCGGCACAAACAGAACCTCGCCGACGTCAATAAAATCACTCGAGTTCCCCAGCAACTTGCCATTCAGCCGCTGAATCCCCTTCACATCGGACGCCAACATCGTCGCCACGCCGAACAACGTATCCCCGTCCTGAACGGTGTACGTCACCACATCCTCGCCGGCCGAACACCCGCACAACAGGTTCATCGTCACGCTCTTCCCGGCGATGAACCTCCTCGCCTCGTCCCCCGTCGGCCAGGCCTGGCCGCTGTACACCTCCGCCGACACGTTGGCGAACGTGTCGCCGGTTTTCACGGCGTAGTGGGTGTCGTAGAAGTAGGCGACGGTCCCGTTGACGCCCTGGCAGGCGCAGGGCACCGTGACGAGCAGGTCCTGGCGGTCGAGGTGGGCGATGGGCTTTAGCTGGGACGGGGAGACGGAGTAGTCGGAGGCGACTTTCTGCGGCGTGGTGTTGGCGGCGGTGGTGATGTGGTAGAGGGTGGCCGAGCAGGTGGTGGTTCGGATGGAGGAGCAGCTGAAGGGGACCATGTTCGGGTTCGGCTGTGCTTCGATGGCGGCGGCAAAGGCGGCGGTGAGGATGGCGACCAGGATGATCGGGCGGCGGTGGAAACAGTGCAATGTAGCCATGATGTTTGAAGCAGGGATTACTTGATTGATTATTAATTAATTACAGATGGACGATGGAGACTAATTATAAATAGGGATGTGCTATTGATTTCCGGCGATGGAAATAATGCAACTTCTTCTTGGCTATCGATGTTCACGTACAAAGCAGTTGGCCGATGAATGCCCTTTTCTTGTTAATTAACATATTCCGCCAAAAAAAAAAAACATCTGTTCAAGCTGGTGGTGAAGAAAACAAAACCAATCTACTGTCATCCAAGCCACTTTGTAAATATCTAGATAACAATTATTGTGAAATTGTATGGAAAGTTATATCGAAAAAATTACTAATAAGGTAGTAGTTCAATTGTTTCGTAACGTTAAAATCATCTATCATATGGAATTCAATATCCAATATTTTCGACCCCGACCAACTTCTAAGTACTAATTATGAAACATTGCCATAGACATAAGAAGCAATTATTCATATAGTAAAGCAGCATAAGCACTAATCAATTACACCCAAAACCGGGGGCTGAGATGGTCAATGCATCATGCACAATAAGACGACACATGAAGGGGACAGTGACATGCCTATTGACTGTTGTATGTATACATGAATAGTGGTTTGACTCTACTGGGTCATGATTTTTGTAGGTTTCTTCTAAAACTTGAGACAAAAGGTTTGGTTGATTGCCCCTTCCAAAAAGAATGAGAAATTCTTTTTTGTCTATAGTTTACCAGTTGCTGATTGCAGAAATGGAGAAGTCTGAGAGATATAAGCCATGTCAAGAGAGGGATGGGTGGATGGATGGATGGATCAAAGAACGAGGTCGTATCCAATTTCGCCAATAACCTTCCCCACTTTGAACAACATATCTGCAAAAACCCATTCAACGGTCAGAAGAAGCTAGCTATCAAACCAGAGACATTCAACAGGCACTTAAGAGTAAGAAATCGATGTATGTACTAGAGGAACTAAGGTTTACCTTGGAACGAAGAGTCTTCCATGTATTTCTGCAACAAAAATGGACAACTGATAATTAGACTATATCTATATGCCTCTTACATTGCATTACCAGAAAGCATATATATATATATATATATATATATATATATATAGTAGGGCAGTGGGGATAAACACACAAACTTTACCGCAATTTGTGATTTGAGATCACCATCGGCATCAGCTACATTTGTGTCTCCTGCAGCTGCAGATGCCAACCATCATAAACAGTTCAGAAATTGGGACAAAAACCCTAGTAACACCCTCGGCGGAAACAGAAAATGCGGCAGCATATCAACCTTGTTTAGTCTCAGAGCAGCAGTTGCTCAGCAAAGATGTAAAGCTGGGAGGCATAAAGGTACTACTACTGGCGTTGTTGTTACTGTTTTCGGACAATATTGGATCTTCTGCAGCATTAGTTATGTTCAAGGGAAGCTCAGGCGAATAAGTGTAGGTGGGTGACAATGACATGGCACTTGATTCCTCCATGCAATCCCTGCAAGTAGCAACATGTCATTCAGAAATAAATCTCACAAGACATTGCACCGATCATTCCTTGTGAATTTGTGCTGAAATTACCTGGATACTGGCATTGCAGTTGACAGACCAGCTGAGTGTGTTGAAGATTCTGGCCTTAAATCGCTAATTGATGGCTCAGTAGCAGCAGATGGAGGATCCTCAAGTATGTCCTGCCAAAATGAAATGTCCAAACATCAGCAGGACAATCAATCAATCATGAATGGCGATTGAACATATCTCGAAGCTGAGAACTAAGCCAAAATTATAATGGTCTAACACCTTCAAACAACCGATGAATGTCTCAGATTCACTGGTAGTTAAGAACTGCAGAGCGAATTTCTGGATCTGCAGCGAAAATTAACAGGTGTCGATGCAGTTACTTTCTCGATCATATCTTATGGAAATGATCACAGCAACAGTCGATTCAAATGTCCGGTGACTTACCAAACCAGCAGAGTCTTTGAAACTAGCAAACACAGCTCTGGTACCCCTGGAAGGATATCCATTGACGCAGCACACCTGAGGCCAGGAAAAATACAGCTTCGAAACGTAGTGCTCCTCCTGAGATCGATTCATAGATTATTGTAATCAGTCTCACTAAAACACAAGGGACCGATCTGTAGAGTAAGTGATTAAGGAAATCTGAAACAATTTGAATACTAGCAGTCTTTCATGAAAAGGAGCTGAAATTACTAGATCAGCTAGTCTAATCGTGGATTTTGCGCGAAACAAAGTTAGGCATGTAGTTGGAAGAGGAAATCCAGAGTCACTGAATTCGGATCTGGCATGTAGTTGGAAGAGGAAATCCAGAGTCAGCTCAACGTTTTCTCAGGAACCAAACAAACAACACAGGGAAAGGTCAATAGGCGATTGAATCATATAAACGACACAAGAATATGGATCGAAATTGAATCAGATGAAATTCAAATTTCAGTTCATCATCGAAATTGTGAGGTAAGGAAGCCTAATCGTGAATTTTGCCCTGGGAAATTGTGGAAACAGTTGAGCTACTGAATTTGTATCTGTCTATCAAATTAGAAACAATCATGAACAAGAAACCAAACCATCACACAGGAGAAGAAGACGATTGCAGCTAAATGTTTTCTCAGGAACCACACAGCACACGGGAAGGTGCTCTAAACCACACAATACTGATACGAAGCAACTGAAGTAGTCTAGAATGCGGTCAAGCGATAGAATCAGATGGAAATTCAAATTTCAGTTCACCAACGGAATCAAAACCATTAGAAATCCGAGTCTCTCATCATCGCCGGTTGATGCAACAAACGAGGACTTCCAAAACGCAAAGAAGATCAAATTCAAGCAAAAATCGATCAAAATACTCACAACTAATCTTCCTTGGAGATAGACGGATAGAATGGCATCGGAGCAGGAATCATCGTAGACGAGTTGCAGAGTAGCAGTTGGAGAAGAAGAAGAGATCCAGGTGCCGGGATTGGCGGCATGCCTCTTCACTTGTACAAGACAAGGATGCAAGCTACCGAGAATAGTAGGGAAATGGAGGAAGCGAGCGAACGAGACTTGCCATCGCTCTCCGGGGACGAAAGAATCCGATCTCTCCGCCTCCTCGCTCTGGTGCAACACCACCGCCATGGATCCCGCCATAGTTTCAAAATCTTTCTTCTTCTCCCCCAAAACTTGAAAAATACAAATCGATTTTGAAACGTTCACTTTGGATCGTTTTTATACTCCTGAAATGAGCCGGGCCTAAATTGGAAGGAATGTTGGGCCTCCACCAAGTCTTAGATATTGGATCCAAAGGCCCATATCCATCCAATGCCAATTTCACAACTGTCAAGGTTTGACTCGCCATTTTACTGGTCCCACTCATCGTTCCGCAATCGCCATAAAGATAAGGACGCGCCGTCTGGTGAGTGCAATTCACCGTCCAGTGACCGACTAGCTTTCCCCGGCGGAGAATTTCATATTGGCAAAGTAAACGGGCAAAAAGATTGAAGCAGTGAAGCAGAGCCTCGGATTCATCCTTGTTTGCTCCGTTCAGTAGAATCAGAGACCGCCATGGAAGTTCTGCTATGTCCGGAGCCTTCTCTCTCGATTCGGATCGCTGAACCTTGCCGCCTCAACCGTTTGAATATTCGAAGCTCTCTGCGATTTCCCGCTGAAATTGGAGGTCGTTGGATCGCCCGAGCTCGCCTGCCGGCTGTGAAAGCTGTTATAGACTCGGCGACGCTGGATCAATTAGGAATGACGGAATCCGAGATTAGGAATCCCGCGGTTTCTTCCACGTATCGGAGCTCGAAGTTGCCGAAGCCGAATCAGACTGTGCTGGAAGCGCAAGCTAGGGTTTGCACCGGACCTGAAATGACGAAGCCGCTTAGCGAGGAGCAAGCTTTCAAAGTTTTCGATACCATTTTAAGATCAGGTTAGTCCCATTTCTCTATCCGAATTTAAACGAGCTGCAAAAATTTTCTCCATTGTTGCTCAATTTCGGTGTTCTGTTGTATTATGGTTAGTGAGGGGTGAGCTCAAAGACGAAGACAGAGTTTCCAGAGCACAGCTAGGGGCTTTCTTTGCTGGAATGACGATACGTGCGAACGCCTTCCCTGAAGCTACTCAGTGGAGTGAAGGAGAAAAGCGTGCAATTGGCACGTTTTGGCCCCAGCTGGTCCGAGCTTTACCACCTGATGTGGTCTTCATTGCTGATCCTGAGGGCTCTATAATGGGGAGTTCGATAGGGCCGCAGTTTGTTGGCAATGATACGACTGAGATGAGATTGGTTGGTGCACTTAGGGAGGTATTAGCTGGGGGCCATCTCGGGTACGAGGAGGTCCAAGGTGTGCTGAGAGATGTTCTTCCCTTAAATGTTGAAGAAGATGGCAAAGACAGTTCAAAAGAGTCGTTGGTTTCGGCATTCCTAATTGGTCAGCGGGTGAACAGGGAGACAGATCGTGAATTGAAAGCATATTGTCTTGCTTTTGATGATGAACTGGGTAAGCATTCTATTGTCTGACACTCCTTTTAGAGATATCATTCATGCAAGATTTTCCAATTAGCCATGTGGCCTTGGTTGCCTGATTCTACTATCAGTTGGGTATTAGGTCCTCCTCCAGTTGCTGATGTTAGATCATTGACCCATTATGGTGAACCTTATGATGGAAACACACGTTTCTTCCGGAGCACGTTGTTTGTTGCTGCTGTTAGATCCTGTTACGGTGAATCTTCATTGCTTCATGGTGTGGACTGGATGCCACCTAAGGTATGTAGCCTTTGCTTTTTTTTAATAAGTAGCCTTGCTTGATTCTAAAAGATTGTCATTAAGAAATCCTTGGTATAGTAAATTGTTGATTTGTTTCAGGAGGTAGCAAAAAAAAAATTCCCCCCGCAAATTGCCTTCTTGGTGATTAGGGCACCATATGATTACAAATATCTGAACTTCACTTTTGAATAATCCTCGAATACTGAATTTAGACTTTACTTATCTAAGATGGAAATGGTGGCTTTACATTTTGCCATAGGGAGGCATAACTGAAGAACAAATGCTGAAGTTCATGGGTGCAAATACACACCTCACCCCGTTGCAGGCCAAAGATCTTCTTGAGGTAGGTGTAATGCTCAAATAGCAACAAGAACAATGATCATTCCTTTATTTCTGCACCCATATGTAATGCCTGTTGTGACAACATTTCAACTGCTGTTTTTGTTATTCCTGATTTGTCCGTTAGATCAGTCTGTTTTGTTTTTAGTTTGTTGTACCACTTATATTCTAACTTCCATGGTTTTCATTCAGGATAAGGATCTTGGTTTTGCCTACTTAAGTCAGCGTGAGGCTCGCCCATCCCTGTACGGAATTTAACTGAGTATTTGTTTTGAACCTTTTCCTTTGTTTATGCTTGTTCTTCTCACTCCCATAGAGAAGGCCCTATACTGCAGGTTGCTGGGACAAAAACCCGCAGTGACCTTTTGTATTGCTCCCTCTTGCAGATATTCATTAATTCAGTTGAGGGAGCACATAAAGAAGCGTCCCCCGCTGGCAACCACAGAAAAGGTTCAACAATTAGTAAGGGTGAGCCATATTATATTCACTGTTTTTGTTGTGCTGACATATTCATATTCATTGTTCTTGGCAATATACGTTCTTAAGCAACTCTAGTTTTGTCATCTGTAGTCCATTTTGTATTCGTGCACCAGCTATAGATGCAATGCAGTGAACTCTTTTGGTAATCCGTGCAGGCCAGTGGAAGAGAAGCAGTTGTGGCTGGATTCTATCATGAAGGCTATGAGGAGCCGCTTTTGATGCTTATGAGAAGAAGAGGTGTGCATTCCGGTTTGGTGGTGAAGGTTAAAAGTCGTTGACTCTAATGTTTATTGACTTGTTCTTTCCTTATTGTGGAAATGGTGTCTAAGCAGTGGGGAGTTTTGAAATGTATACCATGTAACGGATATGTAAACTCCTGTGCTAATATAGGGAGAGGAAGGCGCACTCTCTATGACAACAAGACTGAAGTCAGGAAATGCCTCAAAAGGACTTCCAGTCAACTACTGCTCAGGATTTCGCTCATCTACTACAGCATCTGCTCTTGAAGTCGACGGTTTGCCTCTTTTGTCTTGAATCTTGATCCATCTCCTGGAACTTTCCTTTCAAACGAGCCTCTTGCCATAGGTTTTGTTCATTCGCCACGTTATTCTCCCTGGCAGGTGTCTCACGTCAGAGCTTCAGCATTGTGGTCGACGCCAAGGATTATGGCTTTCAATCCACCGATACTCCAAGAACAGATAGATCAGTAATGAATTTCTCCTCCCTAGATGATTAATTATTTCGGTTCCCAAGCAACTCATGGAGTTCAAACTTATCTCAAGTGGTCGTGCATTTGCTTTCTTTGATTAGGTTTCCAAGAACATAGAGCTGGGTCTGGCAGCTCTTCATGGCCAAAAGGGACCTGCATATGATCGTATCGTACTAAATGCAGGAATGATCGATCACTTGCTGGGATGTGATGGTGCAGAAGATGTACATTCAGCCCTAGATAGGGCCAGAGAAGCCATCGATAGTGGTCGAGCGCTCAAAAGGTTCCTAAATTATATCAAGGCCAGTAATAAGATGAAGTGAATGAGCTCTTTCATTAGCCTTTCGACCGGTGTAACATATTACCTTCTTTCTCGTCCTAGATCAGAGTTTGAAAGGGAAAATCCACAGTTACATGCAATTTATAGAACATTTTCGTAGAATCACAAGAACATCGAAGTTTGGAGCAAATAGATGTTTATAAAGTTCTTCCAGCTTTTATTCATTGCACTCCTATTATTCATTAATCATTATACATGAGAAATATTTAAGGCAAACATTTATTTTTTTTCTTGTACCTCTTATTGACATACACTCATACGCTGTTGAAGAAGAAAAAAGAACCAAAAACTTCATGGCAAACAAGAAACAAAAGCCTCATATATAGACGATGTTGGAAAAGCTATTAAACATTAGGGTCAGATCTGAAGGGCTGCTGCTATCGAACTAGCCAGGCTAAGAACCTCAAACGGTTGTCTTTTCATCACTGCATTTACTGTCGATGGACATGAATCAGTGATCCAGAAATAGGTCAGTCCGGTAGCTGGATTACCTGTTACGAGACGAGAACCGCCATTAAAAAGACAGATGCACCAGTAGTAATAGCATAAAAAAGAATCTTTATAAAACCATACCAACTGGGTTACTGGTCTGCAGTCTAACCAGTAGAACCAGACCAGTATGATACCACAAGCAGTCAGGCACTAGATCATACCTGCACTGTCGAACTGAAAGCGTTCCCACGACTGATTAGGGAAAATACCGTGCGTAACATAAGCGCTTACTCTTGATGCTCCATGTTTGGCCAGCACTTTCTGGTTGGAGCACAATTTTTTTGTTGTTGTCAGTAAGTGCACCAGAGCTTTCTTTGTTTACTTGATCCAGGTAAAGCATACAGAAACTTCCATTGAAACTCATCTAATAATGCTTGATCAAAAAGGTTGGCGGTGACTGTTACCTGACATTCAATCAAGGTACCACCTGACTGAACGAGATCATCAACAATCACTACATGACGTCCTTGAGGGTCTCCTTCCTTGATACGCACGATTCTCTGTTCACCTTCCCGAACCTTAGCACACACAATCTGAAAATCGCAGACAAAAGTTTTTAGGGTCGGCAAACAAACTACACGAACATAGAACAGAAGATTTAGAGACCCTGGAAGTAGTATAGTACCGTGGGGAAATGCTGCAGTTGTTTATGAAACCTTTTCCACGCTCCATCATCAGGGAAAGCTATTGCTATCTGAAAAAAAGAAAAGGATTCATCAACTCATCCACCAAGTCGGTTTCTTCTGTCAATATTTAAGAGGAACATAGCCCATCTTCATAATCTTACATTATGAGAATCTGGAAGCTGTTGCAGCCTATTCATAAGCAAAGGTATCCCACTTTCGAAGCACGGCAGAATGTTATCCCCGAAGTAAAACCTCTCCTAAACATATATTCAAATCAGTACTAATTCAAAGAAAAGTCAAGAACTTTCATATAAGCCAAGCAAAACCCACGAGGCACAAACTCGAAGCAGACAGACCTGCAAGGCATGGATATCGAAAGTCACCAAGCTAGTAGGCCCTCCTCTTGAAGTTGGTATATTGGACAAGATCCTAGCAAGAGTGAAAGCTGTGGCAACGTCTCCTTCATCCTCCATACGCTCGGATGTGCCAGTTGGGAAAAAGGGCAGGACGAGAGTGAAGGAAGAGATGAAAAGCTTGGGAAGTGCATAGATGATTGATAGCTGCTCAAATATCACCTTCGGCGAGCTAAATGATGCCAAGAAAGCAACATGCTGGCCCCGAATCCCTTGAGCGTTTGGTATGAACAAGTTTGGGAACCCATCATCAAATGTCCTATCAAACACCCACCATTTTTGTTTTTGTCCAATTCAGAACAAACAAACACAAGAGAATCTCCCAAATGCTTGTAGGAAATGTAGTAATCAACGACTTACCATTATTCTATTGCCACAGACAGGCACAAATTACCGAATTCGAAATTTCCCCCAGAATGGAAGCTACCCACTAAAATTGATGGGAGGAACTGATAGAAGGACAGAGTACTCACTTCCAATTAATGGAACGAAGCTCGATAGCGTCCGACCGAGCAGCAATTCGCTCAGCCAGCGCCTTGGTCTCGTCACAGTAGAAAAGACAGATCCGTTTGACGCCTTTGGACCCGGAATCCGAGGACGCAGTGGCAGCCATTGGAACGGAGGAAGGAGGTGAAGAGCTCTGGATTGAGTGTAATTGACCGGAGCCGGATAAAAACCCGACGGTCAAATTCTGTTGGTGATAGTTTTGGTGGCTCTCAAAGCTCTTGATTTCGCAATAAACGCGACTAGACCTGCAATTGCTCGTCAAAGACGAAATCGAATTGGTCCGATACGGCTTGACTTGGAGTTGGAGGAGAAGAGAAGATGAGAAATGTGAGCATTTGGAGGAGGGGCTGGGCAGAGGGGAACGGGTCGGATTGTGGGGTGAGGAATGGAGCTGGGAGTTCGACGCCGCCGCCGCCGCCGCCGTTGCCGCCATAAATAAGGAGAAAAAGGGTGGAGGTGGCTGATTTCTTTTTCTGCTGGAGCTGGCGAGGAACCGGGCTGGCGTTTTTTTCGCGTTGTTAGATGGATTTCGAGCGGGAACGGCGGGTGGTTGTTGAGAACGGGGAGGAGTTGGGGCGGCGGAAATATGGCGAGGCTGCCATCGCCTTGGGTCCACGACGGAACTCCAAGTTTCTGCATACTTGGGTTTAGAAGTGGAGTCGGGGTTAGGGTCCTTAGGGAGGGAACGTGGATAGGACCGGCGGCTTTTTGGTTGGGTTGGGCTCAAAAAACCATCTACTGGGCTTACGGCCTCCTCTGTATGTAGTTATGTACCAATGACATTGAGAATTTTATGGCCCATCTGTGAACGAAGCACAGAATAATCAGGGCAGCCGTAGTGGGCTAAGATCATGTGACTTAAGGGGTCCCTAAATAACATAATTAAGTCAATTTAAGTTATCAACCTTATTAAAAAATCTAATGGTTCCAATTTATCCAGTTTAATAAAGGATAAAATGATAATTACACATTTTATTTATTTAATAATTAAAATAAAAAAAATTGCAACACCCAGCGTGGGTATCTCCCGCCCCTCGCTGGGATTATTTTTGTCGTGGCCTTCTGGCGGTCATTTCCCCATTCTTCCTTTCCTGGGGATTTTTCCCAGCAGGTACAAGAGAGAGAGAGAGAGCCGATGATTTTCTGCGGTCGGCGAAAATTTTCCGACGCTGGGGGATTTTTCGGTGATAGCGATAGTTTTGTGATGTTTGTCGTTCTACTTTAAAATTTTTGTAAGTCTAGTTTGTAATGTTTATATCAATTCGGTTTGTATCATTTATCATTCTAATTTCTTATTTTTGTCTACTGTGTTTGTAATGTTTATCTCAATAATTTGTATATATTGTAATTTGTAATGTTTGTTTGTCTAGTTTGTATACTTTATATTCATTGTTTTGTAATACAAGTTTACTGTTTTGTATTGTAAGTAGTGTCATTTTGTACTGTTAGTATGTTTTGTAATGTTTGTCAGCTTGTTTTGTAATGTTTGTAAGCTTTATTATCTTTGTAATGTTTGTCGGCTATTTTTTAATGTTTGTAAACTTTTTTATTTTTGTCCACCATGTTTGTGATGTTTTTTACGTATAAAAACAACTTGGTTGGCTTCTGGACGCGACTCCTCTATATATGGAGCCTCCAAGGTCAACTTGGGTGTTTTTCCATTTTGTATGGTTTGTGAGTCTAGTTTGTCATTTTTGTCACCCATGTTTGTAATGTTTGTATGTCTAAAAAACAATTGGGTTGACTTTGGGATGAAACCCTCTATATAGAGATGGAACCTCCAAAGTCAACCCGGTTGTTTTCCATTTTTTTATGGTTTGTATTGTTTATCGTTTAATTTGTATTGTTTTGTACAGTTTGTATGTTTTGTATTGTTTGTAAATCTGTTTGTATGTTTTGTCGCTCTAGTTTGTATTGTTTGTATGTTTGATGGTTTGTACTGTTTGTAAGTTCGGTTTGTATACTTCATAATTTTTCATAATACCCAAGCTATCCCTGTCATTAATTAAAAAGCCCTTCCCACTTTTTAACCATCAGATTGGTGTGTCCAGATCTAAGGGTTGAGAGGGGCTTAGCCAAGTGACTAAGCAACCCCCCTTAGTCGCCAGATCTTCACTCGACCGTAGTAGTGGTAGTAAATGGCTGGTTGGTTATCAATTTTAATCGATAACCGAATTGATAAGTGATTAAGTGATAATCGAAAAAAATTAGTGGTTGATTTAGATTATATGTGTTTAGCTTAGTGGTTATATGATAATAGCTTATTAGTATAATCATATAGTTTTTTGCTTTGACTAAGGGGAAAAGTTTCAAGAATCAAAACCAATCAAAGTCGCAATTCCAAACTTCTCAATTTTACACCTACGACAAATGATCTTCCACCCAAAGTCTCAAATATGTTTAAAAGTCAAAACCCAAAAAGTCACCCCTCTCTGACTCTCCTTAGTAATCTTTTTTTATTTGATATTTTGAATGATGATTATCTTGGGTGTTTTGTTTGATGTCTTGCTAGTTGAGTTGCTGATTGGATGAAGACTTTTTAACTATTTGTAATTTTATATGTTGAAATTTAAATTTCCTATTGATATTATTTCTTATTATTATTAGTTTATGTTATTTGTATGATTATATTGTAGTGTTGAAAAGGGCACGATACAAAATTTCAAATTAACAAAAGAAAATATCACATAGGAAGGTCGTTATTGGTTAGTGGTTAATATCCAAACTAATCACTAATTGAGTCGATAATAGGTGTTTAACAGATATGTCTTATCGATTTGATTTTTTGTATGCATTTGTGTTTAGTGGTTAGCCAAATTTGAACCGATTAGACCGTCGCCTTTATGCTCAGCTTCCGGCAATCTGCTATAATTCAAGGGACCTTTACTTATTTAGTAAGGTTAATAAATTATCTGAACTTTATACAGATGGACAATTTTGGCCCAAAATTTCTAAAGTTCTCTATACGGTCCAAAATTCACACTTATTTTGACTACTTTATCTTGACCCGTGGGTTGACCGTCAACTTCACGATGAGCATTATTGACTGTTAATGAGTCACTAAAAGTGAATTCATCATACTCATCGGTCTATTTGATACTCAAACTTGTATTGATTCTAGCGGTTGCAACTATAAGTACTATAAGAATTTTTTAAAGCTTTGGACTACATTAATAACAAGTTTCAGAATCAAATGGGTGGTCAGTTTATTAATAATTTCTAATGGTATATATTGAAAAATATTTATTGAGCAATGAAAAGACTGAGTGTATTAACAAAATTTTCCATAATATGAAAACACGTCATGGAATTTTGTTGTAACATACTAGTCGTATATTTTGAATTTTATTCATATTTTAATTTAATGTTAGAAAAGGAAACCCCCTAAGTAAAGTTTATGGATCTGCCACTGGTTACATGTATATAGTGATGGTATTGGGGCGGACATACAAATACCTTAATACCCGACCCACACCAAGAGCGGGACATGTTGGGTAATATTTGCATGAGTAAGGATTGGAGAAGGTCAACTCATTCATATATATTATTTGAAGAATTCTTGCATTTATATAAAATATTATTGAATGAAAGTATTAAGTTAAGTCAAAGTAGGAGGAGAAATTAAAACATGTATTGGGACAAACAGAGGTAGAACGAATCAAGAATAGATTGGGACGGGACGAGGCAAGGTGGAAATAGTACGTATACCGATTCTCCGCCTCGTACTACTGCAAATCTGATATTGTACGCCCCAATACTAGTCAATGTTGACGTATTGGGCTTGATGTGTAGGTTAATTACGTACATATTATTTAGTTGCATGGACATGGACTCACGTAGCCTAGCTAGCTCTCTTTTATTTTCTCTTTTCGGCCCATGATTAGTGTTGTGTGGCCGTTGCTAGAGTTGGGGACTTTTTTATTCTACCTAACCCTAGCTATATAAACTTCTTGTAAGCTACATGAGAGACTACTAAAACTATCAACAAGAGTGTAGCTGGAGAGTGTTTAATCTCCTGTGGACTAGTCCCGAATCTCGGGGATACCACGTATATCTTGTCTCTTGTGCTTTGATCATTCGTTTCATTTATCTAAGCACATTTCGTTAACATGGTATTAGAGCTTTCGTCTAGCGATTCCGATCATCTAGCTATTTGTCTCAACTCTAAGAACTACGCAGTATGAGAGTTTCAGTTTTGTGTCTTTGTTGAAGGACATGGCCTTTTGGGGATTCTTGATGGCATGACTAAGAAGCTGGTTGCGTCAGATGCTTCAAATCAAGAAATTGCTCGATGGAACCAGAATAATGCCCGAGTAAAGTCCTGGATTCTTGGGTCGGTTGAGCCGTCTATTGTGCTTGGGCTTCGTCTCCTCCCTAATGCTCACGCCATGTGGTCGCATCTTGCCTCTACGTATTCGGTTCACAATGTTGCCCATCAATTTGACATTAAATTTGAGTTAGCTCGTCTTGAGCAAGGAGATTGCGATGTGACGATGTATTGCAACGCTTCTCAGGAACTATGGACTGAGCAAGACTTGCTCACTACCTACTTGAGACCCATTGCTGCGTCTGCCGACGCCCTTGCCGAGCGCCAACAATCCCGTGTCATGCGATTCTTGATGCGTCTTCGTCCCGAATTTGAAGTTGTCCGTTCAACGTTGCTCAATCAAGATACCCTTACCATGGATGGCGTGATGGGCAAACTCTTACATGAGGAAACCCGGCTCAAGACGCAATCCCAGCTTAATATGCGTCCCGACGAAGGCAATGCTATGTTTGCTGTCATGGGTCAACCTCAAGCTTCCTGTGATCCTGCTTATGCTATTGGCAAACTGCAATTCCAACGTCGTGTCTCTGAAATAATATGTCACCATTGTCATGCTCCAGGCCACATGCAGAAGCATTGTCACCAAAAGAACTTCTACAATTATTGCAAGAAGACTAGACATATTATTCTTGAATGTCCCTCAATCCAGAATAGACGTCGTTCCCAACCCTTTTTTTGGCCTGACGCGGGTCATTTACACACTCCCGCTGCGTTGCTACTCATGTCGCTCTCGCTCTAACTGTTCCAGCCCAGTCGTCCATGAATCTCGAGTCCATCGAGAGTCTCGTCAATCAAGCATTGCATCGATCCCTTCCTACCGCATTGAGTTCGGCCTTTGCGTCACTTCAAGTGTCAGGTAATCTCAAACCTTGGTTACTTGATTCCGTTGCTTTAACCATATGACTAGCAATGATATGCTGCTTAAGGACATTAAACCTATTGCTTATATGTCTCTACAAGTAGCAAATGGTCAACTCTTAGATGTTGTTGGTCGTGGTCATGTAAAGAGCCCACGTTGAGTTTGCCTGATACTTAGTATGTGCCGAAATTGTCTCCCAATCTTGTCTCGGTGGGTTAGCTTACTAAGTAGGGATATCGTATTGTGT